AAAAGATGGGATATAAGAACAACATTTAAAGGATTGTTGTGGTTCAATTTTAGAGAGTAATTTTTTTAGTGAGTATAATAGGGAATTATGATCCTTGTAATTCAAATACTACACTACCATTAACTCATGCACCGCAATTGACGGCTATAGACGTCAATGGCAGTGAATGAGTTAAGAGATTTCCCGCTTAAATTTATTACACCGGTAAAATATCAAATGCTTAGACTAAAAAACCCCCAGAATATTCCAAAGTAACATGAAAAAAAATCATATGAATTCAAAAGTAGTATGTAGTGACAATAGGGGGAGGAGGAAGAGAACCCAGAGCAGTGGAGGTATGCTCTGGAGAAAATTCAGTAAACAGAATACATTTGTATAAATGAGAGGTAAAGAGGTGTAACAGTGAAGCTGCCAGGAACAGATGTAGTGAAGGTGGATAAGTTTAAATGACATAACTGAAAAATTGCTTATTAATTGTTCTTCTACCTCACCCGTTTTCATAATACTATTTGGTTTTCCATTGAAATCAGGTTTATGAAATTGTGTGGATGTGTCTCTGCTTCAGTTTTTTGCTGGAAAAAAGAGTATTATATGCTATATTTTAGAGTTGTTTCTTTAAAGATTTTCTAAATTTAAAATGGTGTTTTTTTAAAGAAACTAATGTATTTAATTCTAACATTCAGCCTCGCCCTCTGGATCTCAATCCCGCAAAAAACGACCTACTTTAAGAGGTAAATGTCTTTTTTGTAGTGTACTGTAGTTCACAGCTGTTATTTTCTATTTCTATATATGTAACACCAACCAGTGTTCAACTAATAAGGAACTGGATAAGCCTCTTCAGTCATTCTAATAATTGAATTATCTACATTTACATCATAGGTTGGGTAACAGTTAAAACTTAACATATCTGTTGAGTGTTTTGCTGTAATGCATCAGAAAATGTTGATGTTTATTACACAAATATATTCCACAGCCATACAATAAACTTTAACTTATTTTCTTTTGGCTTTGCAATATTAATGTATGTAACTAGCATTGTGTAAATCTGTTTACAGAAACTTTCCTTGATATGTTCATACATCATTATTCACTTGATGGCAATCCTCTGCAACCAACTGATGGTACTGTATTAAATACATATAGTTGGAGTTAAATATATATATAATTATTTTAATAATAATTTTCTGAAATTTACCCATCCGCATTAGGCATTACCCACTTTAACAGAAATCTGAACCTACAATAACATCTGATGTGCCAGGCTCAAAACTCTTATTTAATTCATTTATTTGTTTTCTTTGACATATTAGAGTAAAAAAATATTTTCAATTTCTTTGTGGTTTTTCTTTTGTTTAACAATCACATAATACATGAGAAAAACAGCTAGGAAAAAACAAACAAATTTTTAGGAATGAAATATTCCATAAGTCAGGCTCTATATTTTATATGTAACAAATATATAACAAATCCCTCTTTCAAAAACCTTCAAGATTGTACGTTGTATGTTAATGAAACTGAAAACGAGTATGCAAGTGCTTGATTTTTGGCTAAGAGAAAAGTCAAATTTATATCTCCATTCTAACTCTGTATCTATGTATCTCTAGCTCCTCTTCTCCACAGGTTTTTGTTAAAAGCTGAGAATCAGACTGTTCCGCTGTGCTTTGATGTCAGTGGTGCTCTCAGCCTTAAACTTCTTCATCATCCCAGCAGGGGTCAGTAGTCTTCAGTTTTGCTGAGCTAATGAACTCTTGTTTTTGTATTTCCTGTGAAATAAAATTTCATTATTGGTTCTACCTCATCTCCATTGTTATAACAATCCTCCAACTTGTGGTATGGTTTTGAGTTGCACTTCTCTTTTGTGCTAGAGCTGTTTGTGAATGGTGAGCTTGATTCAGTTGCAAACGGAGGTTTCAAGAGAATTTTCATACACTTCAAAACTACCCAGCATTTCGAGATTGACACCAAAGGGGTCACTGTACGAGATGGACAGACAGAAACACATCACACTGGACAAGATCTGGTCACTGCTGGAAGGTGATTTTACAGTATAATGATCAAGGCTACTCAATACTACAATACTCTCAGCATTGTGTACAGATGTGTGTCCGTATTCACATGTGGTTAAATGAGACTTGCATGATATATCTATCTAGATACACATATACAGACATACACAGTGGGGCAAAAAAGTATTTAGTCAGCCACCGATTGTGCAAGTTCCCCCACTTAAAATGATGACAGAGGTCAGTAATTTGCACCAGAGGTACACTTCAACTGTGAGAGACAGAATGTGAAAAAAAAATCCATGAATCCACATGGTAGGATTTGTAAAGAATTTATTCGTAAATCAGGGTGGAAAATAAGTATTTGGTCAATAACAAAAATACAACTCAATACTTTGTAACATAACCTTTGTTGGCAATAACAGAGGTCAAACGTTTACTATAGGTCTTTACCAGGTTTGCACACACAGTAGCTGGTATTTTGGCCCATTCCTCCATGCAGATCTTCTCGAGAGCAGTGATGTTTTGGGGCTGTCGCCGAGCAACACGGACTTTCAACTCCCGCCACAGATTTTCTATGGGGTTGAGGTCTGGAGACTGGCTAGGCCACTCCAGGACTTTCAAATGCTTCTTACGGAGCCACTCCTTTGTTGCCCGGGCGGTGTGTTTTGGATCATTGTCATGTTGGAAGACCCAGCCTCGTTTCATCTTCAAAGTTCTCACTGATGGAAGGAGGTTTTGGCTCAAAATCTCACGATACATGGCCCCATTCATTCTGTCCTTAACACGGATCAGTCGTCCTGTCCCCTTGGCAGAAAAACAGCCCCATAGCATGATGTTTCCACCCCCATGCTTCACAGTAGGTATGGTGTTCTTGGGATGCAACTCAGTATTCTTCTTCCTCCAAACACGACGAGTTGAGTTTACCAAAAAGTTCTACTTTGGTTTCATCTGACCACATGACATTCTCCCAATCCTCTGCTGTATCATCCATGTGCTCTCTGGCAAACTTCAGACGGGCCTGGACATGCACTGGCTTCAGCAGCGGAACACGTCTGGCACTGCGGGATTTGATTCCCTGCCGTTGTAGTGTGTTACTGATGGTGACCTTTGTTACTTTGGTCCCAGCTCTCTGCAGGTCATTCACCAGGTCCCCCCGTGTGGTTCTGGGATCTTTGCTCACTGTTCTCATGATCATTTTGACCCCACGGGATGAGATCTTGCGTGGAGCCCCAGATCGAGGGAGATTATCAGTGGTCTTGTATGTCTTCCATTTTCTGATGATTGCTCCCACAGTTGATTTTTTCACACCAAGCTGCTTGCCTATTGTAGATTCACTCTTCCCAGTCTGGTGCAGGTCTACAATACTTTTCCTGGTGTCCTTCGAAAGCTCTTTGGTCTTGGCCATGGCGGAGTTTGGAGTCTGACTGTTTGAGGCTGTGGACAGGTGTCTTTTATACAGATGATGAGTTCAAACAGGTGCCATTCATACAGGTAACGAGTGGGGGACAGAAAAGCTTCTTACAGAAGACGTTACAGGTCTGTGAGAGCCAGAGATTTTCCTTGTTTGAGGTGACCAAATACTTATTTTCCACCCTGATTTACGAATAAATTCTTTACAAATCCTACCATGTGGATTCATGGATTTTTTTTTCACATTCTGTCTCTCACAGTTGAAGTGTACCTCTGGTGCAAATTACTGACCTCTGTCATCATTTTAAGTGGGGGAACTTGCACAATCGGTGGCTGACTAAATACTTTTTTGCCCCACTGTGTGTGTGTGTGTGTGTGTGTGTGTATGTGTATGATTATTATGTGTAGATATTATATATATATAATATATATATATATATATATATATATATTATATATATTATATATATATATATTAGGGGTGCAACGATATTCGTATCGATATTGAACCGTTCGATACAGTGCTTTCGGTTCGGTACGCATATGTATCGAACAATACAAAATTTTTAATTTATTTTATCAACTTTCCTTCTGACGATGCTGTCTGTGTTGAGCGCTCAGTGGATCTGCGCTCGACAGTGCAGCCTAGGCGGAGTAGTCGAATGCAGATTCACTGAGCGCAGGGCAAGCTAGCGAGACAGAAGTTAAGCTCTCCTTGCAACATGGCAAATTGAACCACCCTCATTCAGATCTGGCGTTTGGAACTATTTTGGTTTTCATGTGACGTATGACCCTGAAGGTAAGCGCGTCATGGACAAAAGTAAAACAGTATGTTGGATGTGCCACGCAATGCTCAATTACATGGGTGGGAACTAGTGTGTTAGCGCAGTTAGCTCGTTAACGTGTTGGCCGTCCAGCCCCACGCACGGGGCGATCCGCGGTAGCTCGTTAACGGAGATTTGCCGTGTTGTGGCGTTAACGTCATTTCAGATTAACGCTGACAGCACTAGTGGGAACACAACGAATATGACTGCACATTTACATCATCCTAGTGCAAAGACAAGTGGAAGCAGACAAAAACAACAAGCACGCATGCTACAAACTTTACCCGAGTCATTTAGACAGCCGTTAGCACATGATTCTCCTTATGGGGACCTGATATGTTTAATATGCTGCTGAGAATATAGCCCAGAAGAAGCGTATAGTATAGCTTTTATTTTGGAAAGAGCCATTTCTCTGTAATAAACTCTCTTTTCCAAAGATGAGTGATTTCTCGATCAGATAGATTTATTTTTTTATTACTTTGTTGTTTCAGCAACATTAAATATAAAAACTGTACTTTTGAGTTAAAATATATATTTATTATTTTAATAATGACAAATTAAAAAAGGCATAAACTTTTTTTGTATCGAAAAATTAAACCGTGACAAAGTATCGAACGAGAACTGTGAATTTTGTGTATCATTGCACTCCTAATAGTGGATTTGTATAATATATACTATGTAATATATAATTATATATGTTATATATATATTATATATCTATATTATACTTATATATACTATAATATACATATATATATAATATATAATATCATAATACATAATACATATATATTAATTATATATATATTATATTTTATATATAATATATATAATATATATATATTTATCAATATAAGTCAAATATTTATATATCTTTCCAGTGTCGCAATGATTATGCGCAACAATGAAATAGATATTGCAGCAGGAGACATGCGCCTGGTTATTTTAGTTCATAAGAAGAACAGCATTAAATTCCTTTGGCCAGTTTTAAGACAGCATCCTTCAGCCAACAACACTGATGGACTTTTAGGTGAGTGAAAAGTTCATTTCTTTTTCAAATGTTGTATACCATTACTTGTGAAGTGTGTGCAGCATTTGCTTGCATCATATTATTATTACAAAAGTTTGCACCCAAAGGTGGTGCTTTCTGTAAAAAGACCTTGTTGTGTGGATATTCAATGTTTGTTTGTTCTCACGTTCTTTTTCCAGCTCTAAAGTCAGCAGTTTATGAGGAGGTACAACAAGTTGTGGCTACAAAACTAAAGATTAAAAACCAGGAGATCAATGTTACTAGGTACATATCGTTTTTTGTTGTTGTTTATGATATTTACCATATTTTATTATGTAAACATAAATGAAATTTTCCCCTCCCTTTCTTTTGTAGCGGCAATGCCAATGACTATAGCATTGCCTCTCCTCTCATGATGAACTGCGGGCTCACATCTGCTGAGTCTGCCTTGCAGAGACCATTGGCCGATTTCATTGTTCCACAACTTTAACTGGAAAAAGTGAAACCATAAACAACAACAAAAAACGATATGTACCTAGTAACATTGATTTCCTGGTTTTTAATCTTTAGTTTTGTAGTCGCAACTTGTTGTACCTCCTCATAAACTGCTGACTTTAGAGCTGGAAAAAGAACGTGAGAACAAACAAACATTGAATATCCACACAACAAGCTCTTTTTACAAAAAGCACCACCTTTGGGTGCAAACTTTTGTAATAATAATATGATGCAAGCAAATGCTGCACACACTTCACAAGTAATGGTAAACAACATTTGAAAAAAAAAAAGAACTTTTCACTCACCTAAAAGTCCATCAGTGTTGTTGGCTGAAGGATGCTGTCTTAAAACTGGCCAAAGAAATTTAATGCTGCTCTTCTTATGAACTAAAATAACCAGGCGCATGTCTCCTGCTGCAATGTCTATTTCATTGTTGCGCATAATCATTGTTACACTGGAAAAATATATAAATATTTGACATACATATATATACATACATACATATATATATACACATACATATACATATATACATACACACATACATATACACACATACATACACACACATACATACACACACATATACACACACACATATATATACATATATATACATATATAAATATATATGTCGTTAAGGTTTCAAGTCTCATTTAACCACATGTGAATACGGGCACACATCTGTACACAATGCTGAGAGTATTGTAGTATTGAGTAGCCTTGATCATTATAGTGTAAAATCACCTTCCAGCAGTGACCAGATCCTGTCCAGTGTGATGTGTTTCTGTCTGTCTATCTCGTACAGTGACCCCTTTGGTGTCAATCTCGAAATGCTGGTTAGTTTTGAAGTGCATGAAAATTCTCTTGAAACCCCCATTTGCAACTGAATCAAGCTCACCATTCACAAACAGCTCTAGCACAAAAGAGAAGTGCAACTCAAAACCACACCACAAGTTGGAGGATTGTTATAACAATGGAGATGAGGTAGAACCAATAATGAAATTTTATTTCACAGGAAATACAAAAACAAGAGTTCATTAGCTCAGCAAAACTGAAGACTACTGACCCCTGCTGGGATGATGAAGAAGTTTAAGGCTGAGAGCACCACTGACATCAAAGCACAGCGGAACAGTCTGATTCTCAGCTTTTAACAAAAACCTGTGGAGAAGAGGAGCTAGAGATACATAGATACAGAGTTAGAATGGAGATATAAATTTGACTTTTCTCTTAGCCAAAAAT